GTGTGTGGTACACTGTTGTTCAGTGTGTGATATTGTTGCCTATACATCAACGCGCGCACATCAATTAATGAAGTGGCACAAGTTGAAATTTCAACATTTACCGACTATTTTGTAATTAGTCGGGAAATGAATGAATTATCAAGATTTAGCGACGAAATTTTTGGTCACTAAAAGCCTATTTGGCAACTAAGCACTATTTTAGTCGGGAAAAAGTGAATATTACAGTTTAAATTTATTTTTTTTAGCCTAAATTGTACACCAACAGCGACTAATATCCTATTTAGTTGCTGAAAAGTTTAATTTTTGCCAACTAATTTGAAATTTAGTTGCTAATTACAAATATTTACCGACTAAAATATTTTAGTAGGAAAATATGGAACCAATGCCAACCAAATTAAATTTTAGTCGCCAAAAATTATACTTTTGGCAACTAAAAATGTTTTAGTCGCCAAAATTAGTCGGCAAAGGTGCATTCTCTTGTAGTGAGAGAAACACACACAAATTAATTAGTGAAACAGATAAGACAAAATACTCAATTTTCCAGCAAAAGCTATCTATTTGATAATGATAGATGCAATTAAAACTCCAGCTGTAAAGACACAATCAAAGTTCATACGATGTAAGGATAAAAACGACTGCTCTAAGGGACAAAAATCAAGAACAAGAAGATGGTACCTCAGCGCCTAAAGCATGAAGAGAAACTTCCAGACTGTCTTCAACATATAGTTTAATTACATGGTCAGCAATGAGATAAACCTGTTAACAAATAATATAACAAGTGATCAGATAGCTAAAGATCATTTTCCCAAGAATGATAATAGTTGTCAGTTTTAATGATAATGTTTTAATTTTGTATCAGTTTACTCAAGCAGTGGCTTCAATTTTTAATGGAGTACATGTAAACAACTCCTTTTATCCAAAAGAGAAAAAAAAATGTCCTTTTTATTTTTGACGTTTTAATCTTTCCTATAGGAAAACCAATTTTAATTGTCTCAAGTTCTTTCCAAAATGCTAACCAGCGAGAAGAAAAAAGAAAATTTAGAATACCAAAGTTTCAGATGCTTCTGGTTCAAATAGCTAATGGACTCCAAAAATGCTTAGAATCTATGCGTCCAATTCAAAGAATGACAAAAAAAAACTAGCACTTTCAAAATAAAAACACAAATGCCAGTAAATTTGAAGCTCAAGAAGAAGAATCACCGAATCGAGAGAGAGAACTTCGTATTGATTCGATCCTCTGCGAGAAAGAGAGAGAAAGAGAGTGAGGGAGAGATTCGAACTTCATATGCAGACGGCGGTGCTCAAAATGGGGTTATCAAAATAAAGGTTTAGAGAGACAGGATAGGGTTTGAGGAGAGGCAAGATTCGGAGGCTTTTTTCAAACGACTTCTAGTCACAAAACTGTACCGTTTTAATTAAGAACAATTGCGGCGTTTAAAAAACGCCGTTAATTTTTAAAAAAGCTGACGTTTAATAAAACGCCGTTAATTAAACGCCGTTAAATTCCCAAATTCCAGTAGTGAAGGTGCAAATTTCTTTGATGCATTCAGACCATTTCTTAGCATTCTGCGCAAGGCAGGCTCCCTACGCCATTTCAGAACATTAATGGTTGGATGTAAAAGAAATTTCATTAACCCTTCCCTAATCACAACACTACTCAAACCCCTTGGAGAGTCTCTGAGCAGACACCTAGGCAAAGAACTACTAAGATCTGATGATTGTCTAAAATAGTCTGCTTCCAATTGTTCAATAGATGGTTAAATAAATAGATCATTAGTGCCACTCTTGCCCTGCTGTGCTGTGTGATGAGAGAGAGAGAGAGAGAGAGAGAGAGAGAGAGAGAGAGCACTATTGGCCAAAGAGACCCCGAGAAGTGGAGCTAACATGTAGTGCTGATACAAATCACTCACGGCCTAAAAGATGGGGCTCTTAGCCTTCATATTATCAATTCTTCTTTTTGCCAAAATTTAACAAATTCCTGACTACAAGACTCAAAAGAACAAAACCAGTACATGGAGTGTTGATACAAATCACTCATGGCCTAAAAGGTGGTCCCGTAATACTAACAATTTCATGAAAGGAGAGCCTGCATGGGCACATCATTGAGTACATGTAGCCAGAATATAAGAGAACAAACCAGTAAGTAAGGATATACAACTCACATGAGAACAAACAAACCAAGTAACAACATATCCTTCCTTCCTCACATTATATCCACTGCACGTGAATAGCAAAAGATGATTGGTAGTGTTTTGAAGGAGGAGATATGAATTACAATTTTTTTTTCCCTCCTTTTACTTTTTCCTGTTACCATACACTAGAAAAGAAAATGATTGGCAAATGGTAGTAACATTTTGAAATAACAAATAAAGATGTATTGGTTTGAAATGAATGAGTACCAGTTTTTCAAATTATTTTACATAGATTTTATTATTACCCTATTCTTGTACCATGCCATTATACAATATTGCTCAAGCATTGCTATGCAGTTCCCTCAAAGAGAGAGAATTTCAAGGGAATGGAGCAGAATAATCAAGTAAAAGAAAAAGATTTTTCCATGGCCTTTTCTCACATAGATATAGAAGTCCCTAAAGGATTGAGGAGAAGGAAGGAGATGATTCACATGTAGGCTCTTAAAAAGATTGCTCTCTTAAAACCAAAACCAAAACCAAAACCAAAACCAAAACCAATTTTTTCCCATGATTTCTTTCTAAATCATGAATGGGCATATATATATATATATATATGATAATGGATGCTCCATTGTGCATTTGATATCAGGGAAATTAAAAGAATGGATAGGTGATTACCTTGAAAAGAGAGTACCACAGTCGCATATGTATTCTTTAGTACCACATGTCTTTGAATGAACTTTCCAGTCAGATTGCACTGCATATTTCACCCATTTAGGAGAACTAGGTCCCATAAAAGAAAAGCAATACCCATTAGTCTTACCCTAAAGAACACAAAAACATAATCCTCGAAAACCTAATTCCAACCCTTAAATGAACAATTTTTCTTCTTCAACATAATCAAATTCTAAGAAAACAGCTCCCCTGTATCACACCACAAGAACATACAAAAATTTGTTCCCAAACAATTAAACCAAGCTCTGAATCATCAAATTACTGCACTTAACAGCATCAAATCGAAACAAAAAAAATAAAACCCATCAATCATAACTCACAACAAACACAAATTTCCCCAAAAAATATTCTAATTTCTATACACAAAATGACCAAGTCTTTGAACATGGAATTAGACTAATCAGACACTTAGACACAAACTCAAACCAAACACCAGGATGTGAGTCTATATAAAAATAGTACAAGAGAGAATGGTATAGACCAGGTCAGGCCTCACTAGCACATGCCCTGTTTTCAATGATTAGTGAATTTTACAGTCAGTAAAACATAGCATATATGATTAAAATAACTTGGTGGCTTTGATTGAACTTTTTAAAGCTTCATGTCTTGAAGTTCATGTCAGTCCATTGATATTACATTCCCCTCCAAGTCCCCCATGGACCCCAACTCACACTCAAGTGATCAAGCCAAATCACATTTTTCTCCACCACTAGCTCAATTTGCACCTTCATTCATAACTTCAATTTGTAGCCAAAGTGTCCACAAAATATACACTTGGGTATTTAGACATGCTTTAACCTCTTTGTTACATGAATTTAGATACAAGTATCGAGTACAAGTATTAGATACAGTGAAAACAATAAACAAAAAACATTGGCACGGGCACCGGCACCGGCACAAGCACAAGCACAAGCACAAGAAGCTTTTTGGTAGTTTGTTTTTTTCTTTTTATCTTAGACTTCCTCTTCTCATTTATCTTGGTTATTTCTCTTTTAAACTCATGTTTGATGAGAAATAGTACCAAACAGAGGACTCAAATAAAACCCTGGGTTTTGTGAGTTACTAGAGGGGGCAATTGGAGGTTTGTGAGGCTGCCAGAGGTGGTGGTCTGTGGCAGTATGTGGCCAATGCCCTAACCAAGCCACCCAAATACATGAAGCATAAGCAATATGCTTTGATATGCTTTGGGAATCATGGCTAAGTGTCTGCATCTAAGAACTCTACAAACTTTAATCCATTTGTTTTAGAATTGAAGAAAAGAAGAAGAAGAAGAAGAAGAAGAAGAAGAAGAAGAAGAAGAAGAAGAAGGGACCAAGCTTAGAGCACTGGAATTTTCATTGATTAACGAGGAGCTTGGCTCAGGCTCAATTAGCCCTATTCAAGCTTACTTAGTGTAGCTTTGGTGGAGTCAACTTTAATCAAAAGCTAACTAAAAATGAAGTCATTTTACCTAACAATAAGATTTGGCGAAAAGGCCCAGGAACTCCAACACTTGAATTGCAAAATCACAAAATGGGCATGATAAAACTACAACAGATTTATAAATAAAGAAAAAATGAATGGGATTCCAATACCACACTACTTCCCATTTTCATCTTCTTTAGCGGTAAAGCTAAATGCTCAACAAACCCCCCAAATAGCAGTCATAAACCTCTTGTAATTCTTTACACAATAATATATTTTTTTGTTTTCAACCTTTCTTAAATTGTTATATTTTGTTTTTCTATTAAGTTGTTGCATTACTTAAGTTGCAGAACACTATTGAATAGCATAGTTAGATTCAGAACACAATGACCTCTACCACTATTCAAACAATTTAAACAATAGATAATCCTGACCAATTAATTTGCGACTCATAATCAAATAAACATGACAAATAACTTCAGCAAATAATCCACCTGTCATATAATAGTTATCAAACAAGCTTAGGAAAAGTATAATTTTCAAGCAAACAAGCAAGAAATCAGCAACAACATTGAAAAACACATCATATATATATATATATATATATTATTTTATATAAAGCACACAGCTCAGAATAGCTTTGAAGCTTTGTCACTTTCTTTTTTCAAGAATGTCGTCGACTGCTAATAACTACTAACAGTTTTCAAATTCAACTTCAACTTATCTTCTTCATTCATCAAACTCATCAAATTTACACCCATCACTAGTATAAATACACACACACACATAGGCTACATTTGGATATACGGATTTCAAACGAAGGGGTTTGAGATTAAATTTTATAGAAGGAGAGTTGGCTATTATAGTTACGTTGAGAAACTAAAGAGGAAGATAAAGTAAAGTTAAATATATATTAGAATCCTTGGCATGAATATTTCAAATAACTATTTTTACATTGTTATTCCAAATCCATCATGATAAAGCAGTGAAAGTAGTTCCCAGAGAGAAAGTAGGACGTGATGCAATGAAAGTATGCCTATTAGATCAACCTTACCCGTCATGAGTATAAAGGGAATACTGAACTCACTCAATATAGACAAATACCGATTCACTTAATCGGGACACTTACCAACTCTGTGTGTGTGTGTGTGTGTGTGAGAGAGAGAGAGAGAGAAAGAGAGTACCATATGTCGGTAGGGAAGAACAGTTGTGTCCCGAGGTTCCGATAGACAGACAACACATTCTTTGCCAAAATCATTCCCATCAAAGTCACCATTGACAGAATTCCCGATCTCATAAATCTTCTGCAACTCATATCTCATCCCATTTACCCATAAGATTTGCTTCACCAACCTCACCTTGTATTCACCTTTCTCATTCTCAAACACCACCTTAGTTATTTGTGAGTTTGTGGTTCCAAACTCTGGGTTTTCATCTGTCGATTCATTTTGGCTAACTGGGGATGCCTCTGCCTTCACTGCTAGAGGATACACTTCCATATCACCCTCTGCCAGTAACTCTCTCTCATCAAACATTGAGAAGTCTATCCCAGTTCTAGAGGGTTGTATGAACTTCTGGCCTAAACCTTGTTTGAAATGCATGGTCACTGGTTTAATCAAATTTTCCCTTGTTGTAGTAAGGCTACAATCTTCACTCTCTTTTGCAAAGAAAATAACAGTGATGCTGTTTGGATGGCTGTGGGGAAGTGGTTTGCAAATACTCTTCTGATCCTGGAGAACGCTCGTGATCCTCTTCTAGTCACCTGAAAAGGAATAAACACTCTGGTCGAGGGTGTCGGAATTATCACTCCGATGGACAAATTAGAATCCTCACTCAAGAATGCTTGTATTCTAAGTTAAGCACAACAATTCTCACATACCTCTTTCTGGTTGATGTTCTTCTATTTATATTTTTTCTTCCATGGGCCTCGGGATTAGGTCCATTTCCAACTCATATTCAGCACATTTTATAATAGACCGACATTCACTCGTCCCTTTGCCTAATCGGTTATTTGTCTGAATAGGGTTGGATTTGAGCTTGTGAGCCAATTGCCGAGTGCTTCGAATCTCTACTCTCCGAGATTCGACTATCCGGAATCTCTACGACTCCCTCTTCTCGGCCCCCACAATTGCCCCTCAAGCACTCCACTAACGACAGTTGGCTGGAATGTTTGGCTTCAAACTCGAAGAGTTAGAGCCGAAATTCGGCGGCTGACCATATTCCAACGCAAATGTTTGTACACACGCTTCCCGGTTATCATTTCAACTTCCCGCCTCTTCGTATATTTCTATTTATTGTGATTTAAAATTTCGACGTCTTTTCAGATGCTTACATGCTTTTAGACGCCTGTCGTTGGATTGCCTTCCGAACTACCTCTACAACTTCCTACTCTTCTCTATCTCCTTCGCCTCTTGTAAGTTCTCTCCTTCTCCGCTTTCTTTTTTTTTTTTTTTTTGGCTTAGCATAATCCTATTGGCTGGGGAATGGCGAAACATTTAAAAGATCTCCTCTCACTGGATCGAATTTCTGGCTTTCGACGCCATTTTTCCATTCCTGATGATGTCCATCTGTCATTTGTGGCAGACGACACCCTCGATATGGAGAGGGTTGATGAAACCAAGATTGTCTTCTCTCTTCTGTCAATTGCAGAGGGTGGGGTCCGCTTTTCCCTTCACCCACTCCTTAGGGTCGTGCTTTGCCATTGGGGGTTAATCCCTTCCCAACCCAACGTCAACTTCTATAGGATCATGATGGGAATTATCGCACTAAACTGCCGCCTTAGGCTTAACCTTGGCATTCCCGCTATTCGGCATTGCTACGCCTTGGCCAAGTCTTCTGGTTGGCACGTGTGTTATTTCCTTAGAGCCAAAGACACCGACCATCAACTAGTGACTATGCTTTCCAGCTCTGGGAAGCGGGTCGATGATGTTATGGTCGTCGTCCAAGGAAACTGGGAATTCAGCGAAGGCGAGGATTGCCTTGATCATATTCCTAGACGGAGGGGCGAACCAGGTGGCCGAGTATCTTCTTTTATTTATTTACTTGTTATATTTATAAAACTTTATTTTTGGGACCTCATGGTTTTGATTTTGCAGGAAACGATTTGAAAAAAGTCTTGATCTCGACCGACGACGTCGTCCTTTCAGAAATCAAGACTGCGCTCAAGTATTTCGGCTGACCGAGTCTTTAGAAGCAGGGGACGGCGGCCCACATTCTGCTCTGCTACGAGCCAACTTATACGACCTTTTCGGCGGCGGAAAACATCCTAATTTCGGAGGGTGATGAGTCTCTTATCACCCTTATCTTGACTGATTTCATAAATTTGAGGCAAGTCGGTTGCGAGGGATCAGATTCGGAGTGACCGGAAGTAGCTGAGGCCGCCGAGTCAGACCAATCCGAAACTGAGGTTGACAAGGCTTTGAAGTTAGCATTTGAAGAAGTCAGCCTCAATTCGACTAATCCTCCATCCGCTTCGGGTCGAGAGGACAGTCCGCTCGACGATATTTTTCACAGTCTGGAGGACCTTCCCGGCGCGTTCCTAGAAGATATGGCTGGGTTGAGCCTCACTAAACTTGCCAAGAAGGTAAACGCGGAAAGGATGGTCGCGCGGCGAAGGGCGGAGGAGATTTGGGCTGCCGAGTCTCAGTCCCAGACCTCCTTGCCTGTTATTGAGGGGACGACAAAGAATGGAAGTACCGAGGCAGAACCTTTTGTGCAGGCAAGTGTAGAAGCTCAGCAAAGGGTGGAGAAACGCCTTGCCGACGTCGAGGCCGACTCAGAAGAAGATAGTGCCGACAAACGACCTCGTTTGGAGGAGTCAGATGTGATTGTACCTTTTGTTATTCAGCCCAAGATAAAAAAATATGCTGATCTCCTCTGATGCTTCGGTAATCAAAGATCCAGCGGTTGCACTCAGCTTGGCGACATCCGTTTCATTGCCTGCTGACAAGGCGGCTTTTCGGGCAAAGCCTGATCTGGTTGCAATTAGGTTGGCCGCGCAATCGGCTCTTTTGGTATATATCTGGACTTTGTCTTTTCTCTTTATGCAAATATTATTTTGTTCTTAACTTCCTGTTTTGCAGGCCGTTGGGAGGATAGTCGGCATGGGCCGTCGCTATCACGATGCCATCGAGCTAATTGGCCGTTTACAAGTCAAAGTTGAGGGCCAAAGGAGTAGGGCGCAAACGGAGGGCGCCCGTGCCGAGACCGAGATGGAGAGAGCCCGCAATACTAAAGAATTGAGATCAGTCGCCGAGAAGCGGGCGAATGCGAGCGACGACGCGCTTAAATTGGCCCAGGAGGCGATCTCTAAATTGGAGGCTGGGTTGGAAGAGATGAAGGCAGCAAAGGAAACAGCCGACCTGAAGGTTGCCAGCGCATTCGATGTTGGAAAGAAGTCTGCTTTTGATGAATATGTAGACTAAGTCCCCCAATTTGAAAATCGGGGATTTAAACACGGCTGGCTCAAAGCCCTTGCTGCTGCTGATGTGACATTGACTATGCCAATTCCATACGAGCAAGTGGATGTTGAGCCGCTAGAGTCTGACTCCGAGGGCTAATTTGGGCGGCTCCTGTTTTTGTTTTAGGATTTGCATGTAATTTTCAGTCTTTTACAGTTTTTTGTTTAGTAATTTTCATATGTAAAATGGTTACAATTTGTGTCCAATTTACTTAAGGAAAATTCATTTTGTACTTTGTTGTTACTAATGATCGGAATTGTTTGGTTGCTGTTTTGGATAAAATGTTTTGTATACCTGCCGCCTACATGATTAGGACGTTTAGAAAGCCAAAAATCAGTACATGGAGTGGCTGTGGCACATATCAATCGGCATGGGGCCAAGATGCTCGGCCGGTTAGATTAATAAATCTGCCCTTGCCCCAGCAAGTACATGGACTTCAGGGCATTCTTCCATAATTGCCGTTGAGATAATTAGGTTGTTTTAACAAGCCAAAAATCAGTGCATGAAGTGGCTGTGGCACCTATCAATCGGCATGGGGCCAAGATGCTCGGCCGATTAGATTAACAAATCTGCCCTTGCCTCAGCCAGTACATGGACTTCAAGGCATTCTTCCATAATTGCCGTTTAGATAATTAGGTCGTTTTAACAAGCCAAAAATCAGTCCATGAAGTGGCTGTGGCACATATCAATCGGCATGGGGCCAAGATACTCGGTCGGTTAGATTAACAAATTTGCCCTTGCCCTAGCCAGTACATGGACTTCAAGGCACTCCCATAATTTCCGTTTATATAATTAGGTCGTTTTAACAAGGCAAAAATTAGTGCATGAAGTGGCTGCGGCAAATGTCGCTCAACGTCCGTCGTTTGGAGTTCAGTGTTAATGAAATCGCCTCAGGGCCACTGCAAAGATTTTAGAAATAAAATGCCTCGGACTTTTCGCTCCAGTGACTTCGCTTTCTGTGCATAGACTCGTTTTAAAACGATTTTGTTGTGTGGGGTTACGTAAGTGCGATCGTCGAATAGAGTTTTTCTTCAGCAGCGGAGAAGCTCGGACTCTGGTTGAGTCTGATATTGCGACGAATTGTAGCGGCGAAACCACTAGCACGGGGGGCAGGGCGCTCAAGAAACATCAGCCTCTAAGTTGTCAAAACAGATCACCTCGAAAGGACAAACAGCAATGGCGAAGTTTTCCGCAACCGTGGCCGAGAAATGGGGCTGACGTAGCTCCGCGGCCGTTGAGTATTACTGTTTTCGTGGAGAATTCCTTTCTTGTCTTGGATCTTAGCCTTGACATTGTCTATGGTGCCAAAGGTTTCCGCCTCAAGGGCGATTATCTCGTTGGTGTGAATCGTGGATTCAAGCGCGATCTGATCAAAGCATTTTCAAGTTGCGGGGGCCCTCTAATCAGTGGGCATTGATTTGGCATTGCCGCTTGTGTGGCACATATCAATCGGCATGGGGCCAAGATGCTCGGCCGGTTAGATTAATAAATCTGCCCTTGCCCCAGCAAGTACATGGACTTCAGGGCATTCTTCCATAATTGCCGTTGAGATAATTAGGTTGTTTTAACAAGCCAAAAATCAGTGCATGAAGTGGCTGTGGCACCTATCAATCGGCATGGGGCCAAGATGCTCGGCCGATTAGATTAACAAATCTGCCCTTGCCCCAGCCAGTACATGGACTTCAAGGCATTCTTTCATAATTGCCGTTTAGATAATTAGGCCATTTTAACAAGCCAAAAATCAGTGCATGAAGTGGCTGTGGCACATATCAATCGGCATGGGGCCAAGATGCTTGGTCGGTTAGATTAATAAATCTGCCCTTGCCTCAGCCAGTACATGGACTTCAAGGCATTCTTCCATAATTGCCGTTTAGATAATTAGGTCGTTTTAACAAGCCAAAAATCAATGCATGAAGTGGCTGTGGCACATATCAATCGGCATGGGGCCAAGATGCTCGGCCGGTTAGATTAACAAATCTGCCCTTGCCCTAACCAGTACATGGACTTCAAGGTATTCTTCCATAATTGTCGTTTAGATAATTAGGCCATTTTAACAAGTCAAAAATCAGTGCATTAAGTGGCTGTGGCACATATCAATCGGCATGGGGCCAAGATGCTCGGCCGGTTAGATTAACAAATTTGCCCTTGCCCTAGCCAGTACATGGACTTCAAGGCATTCTTCCATAATTGCCGTTTAGATAATTAGGCTGTTTTAACAAGCCAAAAATCAGTGCATGAAGCGGCTGTGACACATATCAATTGGCATGGGGCCAAGATGCTCGGCCGGTTAAATTAACAAATCTGCCCTTGTCCCAGCCAGTACATGGACTTCAAGGCATTCTTCCATAATTGTCGTTTAGATAATTAGGTCATTTTAACAAGCCAAAAATCAGTGCATAAAGTGGCTGTGGCACATATCAATCGGCATGGGGCCAAGATGTTTGGCCGGTTAGATTAATAAATCTCCGTCGTTTGGAGAAATTGCCTCGGGGTCGCTGTATACCTACAAATAAATGGGGTGGGTACGCGCCAGTGGGTCCACTTATTCTTATTCAGGCTTGATTTGAACTAGCTTGAGGCGAGGGTGAATATCAAACAGACTGTTCTTCAACAGCAGAGGAGAGGGATGAACATTGGCTGAGCTAGATACTGCGATGAATCGCAGCAGCGAACCTGCGCGTACGGGAGGATGGACGCCCATGGAAGGCGAAAAATGTCAACCTTCAAGCTGCCGAAGTAGATCACCCCGAAGAGAGAAGTACCAACAAAGAAGCTCCCCCCGACCACGACCGAGGAATGAGTCAGACACGACGCCATAACCATTGCATTTTGCGGTGTTCGTGTGGAATAAACCGATGACTGAGGTAGATTCCATCGTCAATGATCTGGGTGTAGCGATCGAGTTCGCTCGACATATCTTTCCACCGGAAGTCCAACAATCGATGGTTAGACGACGAGATTTCGAAGTGTTTCGAGAAGGTATTCATGGGGCGGTGAAGGGGCTGTACACGGCCTACGAAGTCGGCATGCGTTTGCACGCTGTGTGGCGGGAAATGAAGAAAATTGGCGAACGGGCCCGTAGTTCAGAGGCTCCTGCGTGAAAGGCCGAGGGCGAGCTTAGGGAGCTTAGGAAGGTTAAAGTCTCTGATCCGCATGCGGCGGGTCAGTCTAACTCGATTGTGGACGAGAGGGTGACCCAACAACTATTGAGTCATGCCATCGCCGACTGAGATACGGCAGGCATGTTTGCCGTAGCAAATGCGAGGGCCAATGGTTACAAGCAGGGCTTCCATGATGACCGGAAGGTTGGGATCGACAAAACGAAAGAGACACTTGC